AGCGAGAGACAGGAACGGATGGAAACAGTGCTGTGGCCTGCACGACAAGTGAAGGCAGGCCATCTAAGTAAGTAAGTAAGTATTACCTCGCTAACAACGGAAGCGTCGCTTTAGCTTGGAAAGTATTTGTTGATGATAGCATAATGAATATCGATGACGACTCACGCCAGATATACGCTAGCGCAACAGAGCATAATTTATAATATTGAGTGCTAGCTCCAAACGTTGAAAAATAGCAATTTTTAGGACTCTGTAGTCTGGACAAAATATATAACACATGAGTGGACTACAATAGTGATCTTCTTTCGAATAACAGGTGCATTCTCACTTGGCAGTTTCGGAGCAACAAAATAATCCGTAGTCTCTCAAAGAAGCTTGGAGGTTGATTCAAAGCTTTTGGGTTGGGCTTGTACAATGCTGCCAAGCATAAATTTCTCCAATGGCTTCAAAGCTCTTATTAAACCCATACCATAACGCATTCTTTATTTTGGCATTTTTATTCATAACCTAAAACAACCACATACTAGAAATCAACTACGATTTTGCAAAAATCAGTGAGCAATGATTTATATAGGAAAGGGCGAATAAGACAAAGTTGCGATCCGCACGATAGGTGAAGGGCTCATGATGTCTGAGCCTAATAGCTTTCAATGATGACCAGTTCCGTAACTGACATTTGCGAGCTCGATATGTGTGAGATTGAAGTATTAACATTTGATTCGTAGAATTATACAGATGCTCTTCTGGCTCAAATCAAGGAACAAGAAATGTTAAACTTTTAATTTCGTAATAATCAAGTTTTGTCAATAATTGTAATGATATCATAACCTTTAGCAAATGTACATTTTTAGTATTTATTTATATAGTTTCATTCGTAGTATCACAATGAACAAGTTGTCGACATACGGATCCAATCAGCAGCTGATTCTTGTAAAAGACTGCCACGGATGACGCTGATATAAATCGCCCGTCATCAACGAATGGCTCTGTTATCTCCCAAGACTTGAAGTTTTCCAAGAATTTGATTCGCAGTACCTG